TGAATTAAATTATTTGAAAAATATAATTAAAAAGTTTATTATTATAATAATATTAATCTTTTAAAAAGATTTTTTTTTCCTTCTTTTATGCTTTTATATTCGCCCTTACTTCTATATATTTATGCCAATACTTTTACTTATACTTCACTATGACTATGAATATGGAGTATGCCCATATGCCTTATGTTCTATTACTTCTCTATAAATATGTGAATATGCCCATATGCCCATATGATCTATAATAAATTCTGGATATAAACTTTTTTAACGAACTTTTTCAAATAGTAAATTATCTCAATAAACTTCAGAAATTTTATAGTCACATTTTTTTTTTTTGTCACACAGCACCAACAATAAAAAAATGTGATCTTTTTTTTTGTTCGCGTGCAAGTTTTTATCATTTACAAAGTAAACATGACAAAACAAAGCTATACTATTGCGTTTAAACTTGACGTGATTTTATATGCAGAAAATACTTCCAACCGTCGTGCCTCTATATATTACAAGGTGGACAGAAAACAAGTTCAAGAGTGGCGAAAACAGAAGGCCAGTTTAGAGGCTGCAAGAGATGACAAGGATATAATTGTAAACCAAGTGCGAGTTCTCAGTGGTCGTAGTCGAAAAGCTGCCTACCCCCTATTGGAAGATGAGTTATTAGAGTATATCAAAAAAAAAAGAGAGGAAAAATGCACGGTCACGACGTCTATGATTATAAAAAAAGCCAAAGATTTGGGAACAAGCCTAGGTCTTAGTGATATCAAGTTTTCTCGAGGTTGGGCTGAAACTTTCAAACAGCGGCATAAACTAGTAAAACGTGCTCGAACCCAAATAGCCCAGAAGGTTCCCGAAGACATGCCACAAACAGTTATAAATTTCCTTCGGATTGCACGTGAAAAAACGTATAATATTGAAAAAAAATTTATTATTTCTTTTGACGAAACGCCTATGTGGTTCGACATGCCACAAAATTCAACAATTGATTTTAAAGGCGTTCATGAAGTAACAGTTAAATTAACGGGAAGCGATAAACTACGTTTTACAGTAGTTTTGAGCTACACCGCGGCTGGAGAAAAACTTCCCCCGATGGTAATCTTTAAACTAAAGAAAAAACCAAAGGGCAAATTTCCACGAAATATTGTGGTTGCAACAGCACCCTCTGCAAACATGACACAGGATTTAATGATTTCCACGTTTATTCCACGGGTTGTTTGGGCCAGGCCCAATAGTTTTTTTAAAAGCAAGGGTATAATTTTTTTTGATGCGCATCGCAGTCATAATCGTGATGGTGTAATAAGAAAGTTGAATTCAGAAGGTTTGGATATTTTAGAAATACCAGGTGGGACAACATGTGTTTTGCAGCCTCTGGACGTTTCAGTAAATAAGCCCTTCAAAAATGGAATGCAAAGAAGATGGGAAGAATGGATGGATAGAGGGAAAGTAGTGCTTACCAAAAAGGGGAACCACAAAAAGGCGTCATATGAGCTGGTTTGTGAATGGGTATCCGAAACCTGGAAGGAAATCAGTACAAATGTGTTGGTTAAATCTTTTGAAGCGACGGGATTAACGCTTAATCCTGATAATAGCGAAAATAATAAAATGTCAAGCCGTCTGCAGGCCATTGTTGAAAACCGTCCGATTGAAAGAGAAATATTTTTAGAAAGTGAATCGAATCATTATAATGAGCTAGATAATGAACCAGATAATAATGAGCTAGATAATGAACCGGGTGAGTTAGACGATTATGACGAAAATATGATAGATAATGATTCAGATTTTGATAGCGATGAAGATGAGCAGGTAGATAGCGATGGAGCGATGGAAGTTGATAAAGTAGTAGATAGCAATGAAGCGATAGAAGTCGATGAAGTAGTAGAAATCGAATAGAATCGGTAAGTAAATTGATTGATAAACAGAATTACCGGTAAGTAAAACCCAATTTTATACTTATCTTTATCTTCATTCATATTAGTAGCATATCATCCTATCCGGAAAGGTGCTGTGATACAATTTTCAATATTCTTAAAATTTATTGTATCACTTTAATAACTGCTGGCAGTCTGTATGAAAAAAAATTTAACATTGTTAATATTGCATTTTTCAATGCTGGATACGTATGTAAATAATATACTGAGTGAAACTTCTCTTCTAAATAAATAACTATAAAGTTTGATATTTTTCTGTAAGTGAATATTTTTATAGTGCAAACCTGTTAAATAAATCATTAAATTGATAAGTTTAGAGATCAATAGTATAATAAGATGTTTATTACAATTAGGTTGGGTCATTGAAGTCCGGTAATAGAATTTAGATTGTGAGCCGCAATATGTAACTGGCCAATAAGAATTTACCATATATATATACGTATATCATGACTTTAAAAAAAATCTATTCGCCCTATGTTCTGTAGATTTTATTTATATAGGCAGTAGTAAATTCCCGACTATTTGAATGATACTTAAATACCTTGTAACTCTAAAATACTAATTACATCTACTTTGACTCTCATCCCTACTAGCTTTCTTCACCCTGTGCGCGTGAACCATGTTCTACTACGTATATACAAACTAGTTAATGAATAAGAATAAGGATAAGAGATGGACTCAGATAAAGGAAAGACACCTTGCAAGAATACCTCATTGAATTCTTCGAATCTTAGAAAGAATAAACTTGGATCAGCTGAGAGAAAAGCGTTAGCAGTTACATCTTGCAAAAATATCTCGCTAAATTTTTTGAAGCTTAGAGAGAATAAGCATTAGCAAATGCGCTTTGCAAGAACACTGCGCTGACCCTTGATCGGAATAAACTTGGATCAAAGAAGGAAATTGCATTAGCAAATGCACTTTACAAGGACTTTACGCTAACTTGGATCTTGTCTTAGACAAAAAAGGAGAAAAGGCATTAGCAAATGCGCTTTGTAAGAACACTATGCAGACTTCCTGATTTTGGATCTTCGCCGTAATGAACTTGAATCAGAAGGAAGAAAGCATTAACAAATGCATTTTGCAAAAGCTCATGCTATTTTCTTCGGGACTTCGGGACTTCGGGATAATAGATTGGGTTAGGTGGAGGAAAGTATTAGCTGATATACTTTGTCAGAACATTACTTATGTTTCTGAATCTTTGGAATAATAGTCTTGGATTAAGAGAAGGAAGAGTATTAGCCAAAAACACACTTTCAGGAATACCACACTGATTTATTTGGATTTTAATTTAATAACCTCAAATCAGAAGTAGGGAATTCATTAGCAAATAAATTTTGCAAGAACACCATTTTCAAGAAAATAAGCTTGGATCTGAAAGGGAAAGACGTTATCAGGTACACTTTGAAAGAACTTCACGCTGACTTTTTTGGATCTCTCAAAATAATGGTCTCGAACCAGAAGAATAAAAGGCGTCAACAAATACACTTTGCAAGATCATCAAATTGGCCTTTTTGAATTTTTATGAGAAAATATTAGCCGCAAGAATATCATCCTTATTTATATTGACCAGAGCATTAGCCGGGCATTGGGTTACCTTTTGAGATTAATATTTTTAATAAATTTTTTTATTTATAAGAAAAAAAACCTGAGTTGGCAGGTTAAAATAAAATTTTAATATTATAAGAACTGTTTCGTATTGTCTTAGACTTCTGCAAATGCCAGACACAGGCAGTAGGTTTTAATAGTATCGTGTCTAGCGCTTGTAGAACTCTAATTATAATCTGTTATTTACTGTATTTAATTAGAAACCTAATGCTAATAGTTCGAACCTAGAAGTATTATGTTAATAATATGTGATATCATGTGAAGCTTGGAATTTGAAATACTATGTAATTTACAGTCTATTTTAAGAGATCGTTCCATTCTAAAAGATGTTTACTGGTATGCTACGTATAATAATTACATTATTTAACCTATTTTATACTATATGTAATTAATACATTATAAGGGTGCGCGTTATTTCGGGACGCGCATGGGCGTTATTTTGAAGCCATATATGCTATTTTTAAGAAGTCCAATTTTCGAAATAACGCTCATGCCCGTTATTTCGCGAAAATACGGTAATTGTTTATATATTATTCATATATTATTCCCATTTAAGGGTTGTTTGTTTGTATTTGGAGTATTTGTGTATAGTGATTGTTCCTAACTTTTGTTCTTGTTTGGTATTTAGTAATGAGTAGCATTATATAGTTCTACTCTATATACTAGGTATATATTCTGATATAGTATTAATATATCTGTCCATCTCACTATCAACTGGATATATGCTATACTCAGAATTTGCAAGCAGTTCTTCTTAATTGGTGCACCAGTTCATTTATACATATTTAACTAGACTCAGATACTTCTAATCATAATTGGTGTGACTAAAGATTATAGCATATATCCTATGTCAGCATATCCAATTAAATTAATATCTCTATTCTATGGGATCTGCAGATTTTTAATAATTCAATAATAGTCTTTTAGTAGGAATTGAACTTTAGACCTACTGCTTGGAGGTGACAACTTGACTACTTCACTAAGTCACCACACCCTTTTTGCAAATATTTTTAACAAATTGGTTAGTAGGTAGTTTAACAAAATATTGTTTTCATTAGATAATATGATAAGATCAGTATAAATAAAATATAGAGATTAGTAGTTAAATATTGTTTAGCTAGAGAATCTACAAAATTGTAAAAGAATTGTCTGTATGAGCTTATATTTTATAAAAATAGATTTTTAAATTATAAGATTTAATAATGTTTGGTAGGGTATACTATAAAAGCCAAGCACTAAATTTAAAAAGTTTGTTAGAACTAAGTAAAAAAAGCTAAGTTTAGTAAATTCTGTTATAATAAACTGTAAGTCAGTAAAAATATTAATAGTAAAATTGTGAAAGGTAGTAGAAATAGCAGAAAAAATTACAAAAAGTTTAGCTTTATAAGAGGTTGACCAAAAATAATTTTTGCTAAAAATTTGTAAATAATTTGGCTATTGCTATAAATTTGCATCTAGCTAATATCTATAGTACATTAGTTGATATCTATTTCTAGAACAGAGCTATTAGTATAATAGTTGAATTAAAAATAAGTTATATTTGTTATAAAAAATGTTTAAGTTGGTTTGCAAAATATTAAGGCTAAAAAATATATAATATGATAGAGTCAGAAATAGAGATTGAAGGTAAGTAAGAATAATAAGTAGATATTTAATTGCAGTAGAGAAGATGAAGTCAATATTATTAGCATTAAATTTAAATGAGTCAAAGGAAATTCAGTCAAAGAATTGTATAGATATTGTAGCAGATATATATATATATTTTTTTTTATCTTCGCAATGTCGCAGAAGTGCGAGTTTTTATTAGGTATATTAGTAGTACATTCTTGGTTAATGAGAGTACATACTGGCCATACTTGCGCCTTTTGAGTGCCTAATTAAGTAGCTACCTATTACTAGAGTTTATACTATATGCCATACCTATAACCCACTATTACTTGAGCTATCCAATTAAACTCTCTGGTGTCCCTCATCCTGCATTACCACTTTTATTACACCAACTTATAACCTTATGCTGCTTCATTGAAGACCACTCAGATCAACATATGCTACACTACTTGTGCCCTAATTTGATAGATAACTTAGTAGGGTTCTCATACTTACTGGGTTACCTTAGGGAGAGTGTAGTATATACCTCCTAATCTTTCTATATCCCACACATTTTCAGACTAGGCCTTTTTGTTAACTTACGCTGAGTCTGAGGACAAGTACTTGCGAGCCGAGGCTACTACAGTTACCTGCTACTGCCTTTGTAGAGTTTACCCAAACCCCGATACCTACTTTACATACTTACTCTCATACCTCCGAAAACCCAAACTCCCAATCTGATGGCCCGGAAGCGCAGGACTCTTCCTCTGGTTATCTGATGGCCTGGTTGGTATAGTGTCTTGCCAAACACCTCGGTCCTGTCCGGTTTTTTGGTATCCGGTTGATTATCCTTTACATAGTAACTGTCGAAGATTTGTGCTACCTCTCCACTCAAGTCTTGCCAAGCAGGCTCCCATATCCTGTAAATTTGCTGGATTTATCCGATAGCTTCACTCAGGTTTTGTATAACTCGTATATCACACTATATGTTCCACTACCTCCCAGTACAAGCTGGTACGACCACCATTACAGGTTCTATAACCCAATAGGATACAGTCTTCCAAATGCATTTTCTATAAATTCGAATTTTCGTCATCAGTGAGATTCGAACTCTAGTCCTGCTGCTTGGGAGTGCGACAACTTGCCAACTTAACTAAGTCTCCACACCCTTTTGTAGCAGATATATTAATAGTACAAATATTGTTAAATCTTTTAGAATTGAGATAATATTCAAAACAGAGTTGATAATTAGTAGAAAAAAGTGTATAGAGATGTTTATGAGATGTATCAATATTAGTTAGCCAATATGCAATAGTAATTAGATTATTAAAAAGATGCTATTGTATTTTGTCAATAATTATTTTGTGATCAGAATATGAAAAAGCTTGAGGTTAGATATTTAGAAATATAATATGAGTTAAATGCAAAAAGTTGGTGCTTGCTGTTTATATTAAAAAAGTAGATTGCAAAAGTTGTAGTACTCAAGTACAATATCTTATAGTTGAGTAAATTACAGAGGTTTTTTGTCTTTTGGTAGTTAAGTCTAGATAAAAGATATATCTAATCTAAGAGTATAGAGTTGTCTGTAGAGTATGGATTGTACCCAAGTTGATATTACTCAGATCATCTGCAGATGGATCAGATAACCTAATTTGAGTTAAATCAAACCAGGTAGTCAACTCACAGGTTAACTCATAGGTTGACTCTAAGTTGACCTATAAGATGTTAATTATGGTTGAATTTAATAAAACTATATACTACATTACTATT